AGGGCTGGTTATTTCTGGATGACATTAGAGAAAGACTGCATCGATTATGTCAGAACATGTCACAAGTGTCAAGTGCATAGTGATAAAGTCAATGCACCTCCAACCCCTTTGTTCAATCTGGTATCTCCTTGGCCATTTGCAATGTGGGGAATTGATGTGATCGGGCCTATTAACCCAAAGGCCAGCAATGGGCATAGATTCATCCTTGTAGCCATTGATTATTTCACGAAATGGGTAGAAGCTTGTTGATTAGTACTTAAAAGTGCATTCTCATTAAGGATTTATGTCATCATATTGCACCCAAAGTATCATTAAATTCCCTAACAAAAGCATGTTTTATATTAGCAAGTCTAAAAAATATAATATACCTTTAATTCATGGTAAATGTTCATCCTAAATGCAGGTCTATCACATAAATAAAAGGATTGATTGATGAGTTTAAGGATTGAAATTGAAAGGATAAAAAGAAGGCCAAACTTAGCAAAGTGTTGCTGGTGCATTCCAAACTTGAACACCGTTCGGTAATTTGATCATATCTGGAGCTGTAGATATCAGATTTAGGTCCATTTTATATCGATGGAAAGGTAAGACATAGACCTACAACTTTCATATGGACTCAAAAACTCAGTTCTGCCGTTTTCAAGCACAAATCTTAGCAACAACGAAGACGTCGGAAGTTGTCCTGCAGCTCAAACACTATTCGGTTTTTGGCTCATATCTTGAGTTCTAGAAGTCCAAATGAGCTCTGGTTTTTTTTTGTTGGAAAGCTGAGACAATTGCCCATAACTTCCACAATTCAGTTGGCTATAATTCTGATGTGAGCAATGATGTTTTGGCCAGCCAACAATATCAAAAATTAGCCCACAATATCAAAAAACCAGCAGCCATTAATGTCAAAAACCAGCCACCAAATCAATGGATGCCCACCAATTCTTCAATCAATCAATAGTTCTGAAACTTAGCCTATAAAAGGAGGCATTGTCCATGTATTTAATCATATTAATTTTCAGATCAAAGTTATCTTCTTGCTTTCTCTCTACATCTTTGTAATGTTCAAGTTTTCTTTCATGCTATAGTAATCTCTTGTTTATGCTCTTTCATTTCCTTTCTTATTCTTAGTTAGCTTATATTATGTTTATGTTCTTATATTGCTTATTTATGTTTTTCTCCTTCTTAATGTTTAGCTAAGTTAATTATGTCAAGGTGAAAAAGTTTCTCTAATGGTGTTAGAATAGGTATAATATAAACTCAACATGAGCTTTAAATGTTTTTATCCAAGAAAGATTGTTATTAACATGTTTTATCTTTTTATCTTATTAATTCTTAATACCTTGCTTATTAAATGGTTAATTTAGATTTGTGTTGTATAATATTTGGTACATCAAATGCTTGATCCTTCATAGTTTTCGGCCGACATCGTTATTATGATAGGAACTTGATTTGTTGTTAACATAAACTAGCAACATGAATGCTTGATGATATTTATAAGTATGGTATTACTTAGATAAGATAATTAATATGATCATGTTAGTAATTTATAATGAGCTAATAATGAGAAATCATCCGATTAGAATTTCGTTTGTGTGTGGTTTCTAGTTGAGTAATAAAAAGAGTTTATATTATATTTATTTGAAATACCATTAGTGAATCCTATAACCTTGACATATGTTTTGTTATTGTTTAATCCTTTCATCAATATCACATCCCAAAACTTTCTTCAACTCCTTTTCTGTTATTATTCTCTTCAAATCTTTTTTTTTATTTGTAATTTATATAATTCACCTCCCTGTGGTTCGACCCCAGTCTTGTCGGGTTATTTTACTTTGACACTCCTGCACTTGGGATAAGACATCAACTGTTTGATCGTGTCAAGTTTTTGGCGCCGTTGCCGGGGAGGTAAGTTATTGTATAAATTAAATATTTTATTTTATTTTATTTTCACTTTTATTTGTTTTACTAATTGTTGTTTCTTTTTCTTTTTCTTTTTCTTTTTTCTTTTCTTTTCTTTTGTATTTGCATGAGAGTTTGGCCACGTACATTAAGTGGTAGACTTTCTAGAAAATCATCATTTTCTTCAGAAAACATGGCCGAAGAAGATAATCAATCAATTCATAATGAGAATAATGAGAATAATGAGAATAATCGCGTTAGAACACTTAGAGATCATATGAATCCAATAAGAACAAGTGCACCATCATGTATTGTTTTTCCTCCTGATGCATCTCATTTTAATTTTAAGCCAGGTATTATTCAACTTTTACCCACTTTTCATGGCTTAGAATTAGAAAATCCATACTTGCATTTAAGAGAATTTGAAGAAGTTTGTAACACTTATAATGACTTAAATTGTAGCATGAACACCATCAGATTAAAGCTTTTTCCTTTTTCGTTAAAAGATAAAGCTAAAACATGGCTATAAAATATTAGGTCAGGATCCATTCATGCTTGGGATGAAATGCAACAACAGTTTTTTAAAAAAGTTTTTCCTTCTCATAGAACAAACTCTTTCAAAAGACAAATCACCACTTTTACTCAAAAACCAGGAGAAACATTTTACAAATGTTGGGATAGATATAAAGACTTGCTTAATACCTGTCCTCATCATGGTTTTGAAACATGGAGTTTGGTTTCACAATTTTATGAAGGGTTAACACCTAAAGATAGGCAAATGGTGGAATTGATGTGCAATGGAACTTTTGAAAATAAAGACCCTGATGAAGCAATGGAGTACTTAGACTTGCTAGCTGAAAATGCTCAAAATTGGGACACCACAGGTACTTGTGAGGCACCAGGTAAAACTCAATCTCATACATCTAATGGAGGCATGTATAGCCTTAGGGAAGATCATGACCTCCAAGCTAAATTTGCATCTTTAGCTAGAAAAGTTGAGGCACTAGAATTAAAAAAGAGTGGTCAATTAAAATCTGTTCAAGAAATTGTGTGTCAAATTTGTGAAACCAATGAACACTCAACCAATGATTGTCCCACGTTGCCTTCTTTTAAGGAATGTCTCCATGAACAAGCCAATGCTTTAAATAGTTTCCAAAGACCAAGTCATAACCCGTACTCACAAACGTACAACCCTGGTTGGAGAAATCACCCAAATTTCAGTTGGAAGAGTGGTAACAATAATGCACAAACTTCACAGCCACCATTTCAAACACAACATAATTTTCAAAATTCTCATGGATATGCACCTCCTTATATTCCCCCTCCTAGAAGAAATCTTGAGGAAACATTACATGCATTCATTGAAAAGCAAGAGACAATCAACACTCAAAATGCTCAAACCATGGCTGATTTGAAAGATACTCTTGCAAAGTTCACATCTGCTCTCAGTTTTCAGAAGAAAGGTAAGTTTCCATCTCAACCCCAACAAAATCCCAAGGGGCAATACAATTCAAGTACAAGCAATTCCGGAAGCCAACATCTGGATCAAGTCAAATCAGTCACTACTCTCCGCAGTGGTAAGGTTATTAAAAAACTCATTCTTGAACCTTGTGAGAAAGAAGGTGAGTTAGTCTCCAAGGGTAAGGAAACGGTGCCGTTTTGAACAGTACCATCATCTTCTTCCCCTGGACACGCAGAGAACAGGAGAAGAAAATATGTTTTTCTCCTCTGTTTTCACCGATCTTTTTACCAACAATTCAACTTCAAAAAGACGCCGACACAACCCATTTTCCACGTGCTCGAAGAACGGTGGAGGAGCAGCTGCACAGTGGCCGCCCCAGCCACGTCCCCTCCCCTATCTTTTGCCTATAAAAGCAGGGGAGACAGCAAAAAAAAAAGAAAAAAAAAAAGAGGAGGAGGCAGATACGAAGAGAGGGAGAAAAAGAAAGAGAGAAGGAAACCAAACACGAGAGAGAAGAGAGGAGAAGAAAAAAAAAACAAAAGAGAGGGAGAGAGAAGAAGAAGGAGAAAACTATGCAAAACCAAGGAGAGAGAGAGAAGAAAAACACACCAAAACACCGGCCACCGTGTCTCCGCCGCCAACAGCACCGCCCCGACACCAATCCCAGGTAATCTCCGGTTGCCCTGTCTTTTTGTTTTTTCGATCTATATTAACATGCAAAACGTGAATTAATTCATGTTCTGCAGCAAATGAAGTAGGGGGTGGTTACTGTATACGGGTTTGGATTTGGGCCGGGTCCGGCCCAACCCACTGATCTGGGCCGAGTCCAGCCCAATTTTTAAAACTTAGCTGTTTGTACAGTACCAACCCATTTGGTTTTGGGCCGGGTCCGGCCCAACCCACTGATCTGGGCTGAGTCCGGTCCATTTAAAAAAATTATTACTTTTTTTTATATTTTTATATTTTTCTCTTTTTATTATTTATGCATTTTTTGCTTAGTATTGGTCTATATTTTTTTGTCAAAAACAAAAATACAAATACATTATTAAAAATACCCGAGTTTTTTTATCAAAAAAAAATTTAAAAAAAAAAAAAATTTTGTGCATACGGCCAAGTGTCTCAAAGCTACAAAAAAAAACAAATCATATTGTATTTTTCATACATCAAAAACAATATTTTAGCATGCATTTTGGCTTTAATAACTAGTTTATTAAAGTCAAGAGAACATTGACCAAAATATCAAAAACAACAAGAAACTTTTTTTGTTTTGTTTAGTATCAGGGATTATGAGGTTATACGTAACACGTATTATTGATTTTAAAAGTTTCTTTGGTTTTAAATACACATATAATTAGATACCACAACATGATTTCATATTTTATCAGACAAAACAATGCAGCCTATCTTAGGTAGGGCGTAGTCGGGGTGCTAATACCTTCCCTTTACGCAACCAGTCTCCGTACCCGATCTCTAAAGACCAGTTAGGGTTCCTAGTTACCAGAATACTAGGTGGCGACTCCCATTCAATGTTTTCACTGATAAGAGACAAGAATTCCTTGTCTCTTCATATCTTGCTAGAAATATACCACATCCCATCAAAGAAATGGATGGTGGATGATCGCCGCGACGCCGCACACGTGCGACAAAGACTGTGAAATGAACTAGAATCTTTGTTACTCTCAGTATTAGCAACAGTCTGGGACTTCAAAAGAGTTCTTGAAGAACCACTAAACAGCTCAACATTTGACTGCTGAATTCTGACAGTGGCTTTAGAAGTCTCTGTGGCTGATGCATCTGGAACCCACACTATCAAATTTCCTGAAAACGCTCCTATACTTGGATGCTAATTTTTTTTTATTTAGAATAAGAAATATTTTAAAAAATAATTATTATTATACTTATAAACACATACATGACAAACAAAACAAAAATAAAAATAAAAAATGAATAAAAATATAAAAATAATTAAAACAAAAATTTTATTAATGAAACACAACATCAACAAACAAGAAAAATATTAAATGACATGGAGTACAAGACAAGACCTCAAAAGAACAAGGATAACGAGTCCATATATATGGAATGATAGCAAGAATGCAGCACGCTACACTTGAGGTCTTAGCCTAGTGGTGGGAGGGATTTGTTCTTTTTCTCTGTAGCTGGGTTCGAATCTCACCGTGCACGTCTGTCATTCTCGCGGTGCCTTACATGCTCACTGGGCTTGCAGGATGTTCAATAGGCCGTGAGATTAGTCGTGGTACGTGCAAGCTGACCCAGACACTCATATAAATAAAAAAGAATGCAGCACGCTGCTTTTGTGCCAAGAAGAACCTAAAGGCTGGTTACAGAGGAGGATAGCTTGATGCTATGTTTAAATACCTAAATCATGATATTGAACAAAGTCTTGCGAGAACCCAGAAATTATATATATATATATATATATAAAGGGCTAAGTAAGTATTAGATACTATAATAATAAAAGTAAATATTACAAATTTTTATCTAAAATTTAATAACTGAAATTTATATATAGATGAATTATATAGCCAGTTTCAAATTTAATTTGAATGTTATAGCTTATTTATTAATAAATTAACATGTTAAATGCAAATTTATAATTAAAAACTTGGATTAAATTTTAATTTTAATACTTATTTAAATTGGTGACTTTGTTAATATTATGCGATGTAACCCAAACTTCTTTAACAGGGACAAAATCAAAAACTTTAAAATAAAATAAAATGAAAAAATCTTAAGAAAGATAATAAAATAGATTGACATAAAGATCAAATAACCCAAGCTTTTAAAGAGATGGAAACATGGAATGTATTTTATTTTTACTCCCTAGGATTTCTTCCATGAACAATGGGCCAATGGTAGTTATTATGCAAGTGAAAGTCTAGAGAGGCCAACTAAATCGTAGCCAAGCCCATTGAGGCGTTAGTCCCTTGAATAGGATTGACATGTGTGTCTATATATATATATATATATAAAACTCAGCATATTAAAATAATTTAAAATAAATTTATTTTTAAAAAATATTTTCTGGAGTTGTTACAGAATGAATATTTCATTTCCTTTTAAGTCCTTTTTACTTCTCCCTCAATTTCTTTTCTCCTTCTAACTCTCTCTTAAATTCTTAAGCCTTAACAACTCGTCCAGGACTGAGGAGAGATTCATACGGATGAGTTGACTCGACTGGTTGCGGGACAGGAGAGAAGCAACCTTAAGGTTTAGTTGACTCATGGGGTGCACTGAGTTGAGGTGAGCGACAGCAGTTGCCAAAACCAATATGTTTCAAGGCTGGAGCCTGGAGGGGTGTTAATAGTAATTGCCATCTTCGTTCAAGTAGTTGGTGAAGTTTAATGCCAGAGAAATCAAGGGATTGTTGTTGTAGTGACTGAGAAGGGACGGGGTTAACATGTCGACGGAGTTGAAAGTCATCGGCGCTGTGGAAACGGGAGTTCCGTAAGAAACATGGTAGCACGGTCTGGATTACTACTGCCACTCGAGGTTAATGGAAATAACGGGATACATGGAAGATAGAGCACTGATGGGGTTGTTCGTACAATTATATGTCAGGAAAGGGGGCTTTTGTTTTTAGGTGAGGGGGTGATCAGACGGTGGAGAATGAGTGATGAGGGGGTGTGCAGACAACAAAAGGAACAAGCGAGGATAATGCGTGGGCGTGAGAGTACTGTTATATAGGTGTCAGCCTTTCAGGGAAGAAAGAGTGCTGCTAGAAATCAGCAGGCATGGCAGGACCCCTGAGCTTTTTACCTGTTTACGCTATTTTGTTCTCTTCACAGAATGGAGGGCAGAGAGAGAGAGAGAGAGAGAGATGGGAAATTTTCCTTTTTCCTTTTTCTTTGCTACCAAACAATGAATCACAAAATTACTGTTTATAAATCCCATTATTTACTGCATTGCGAACGAAGGGCTAGAAAAAAAGCAGTCAAGTGCTGCTTTCACATGTTTTACAAGGGTAGTAGTTGATAAAAAAAAAAAAAGTTGTTTTCCATTTCATAAAGCATGTACAAAATTGTTGTTGCTAGGATGGTAGAGTAAATGAGCTCTTTTGACTCTTGAGACGCATCTTAGTAACCATTCTTAACAAGGTCTATTATAATACTTCATGAAATATTCAGGTTTACAAACTCTCGTATTATTATCACTTAATTCTGCTCATATACTGATTTAACATGTATTCTTAAACCTTAATTTTCACACACACACTTTAATATATGATTGTGGGTTGCACATTGGATTACTACATTAATTATGTTCTTTTGTTAAAGGTAATAACCAAGCGAAAGGGATAGTATATAATTTGACAAAAAAACAAAAAAAAAAGCAAAAAAAAAAAATGATAATAATAAAAATGTAGATAAGTGTGGTTTTGTAGCCTCCCTAACCTAAGTAATTAAGCCTGAAGGGGTGTTTTAACACCTAATACCCTAAAGTCAACTGACTTGGGAGCTATTGACCCAACGCTTGTTACATGGGTTGAGGAGAAAAGCTTAAGGGAATCAAACATTGCACTATCTACATACTAGTATCTGCAACCCGAGTTACTAAGCTCGTAAGGGTGTCTTAACACCTAATGCTTTAAGACCAACTGGTCTGGGAGTCATTAGTTGAAAGCTCATTACATGGGTTAAAGATACATGATGTTTTTAAATTATAGGTGTATATATTTTAAAAAAAAAAAGAAGAAAAAATAAGAAAAAAAAGACAAAAATAATAATCCTAACCCTAGGAAGTTAACCTTAAACATTAGAACAAAAATTTTATTTTCTTCCAAGAAAAGCCCCATAATTATGTGTTGATACATTGAGCACAAAAGAAAGGTTTATTAATATCTTGTTAAGAGGTATTGAGCAGATATATATATAAATGAGAGTTTGTTTATCTGGATAGATTAATGGAAGTTAAATGATGAATACCTTGCTTTGTGAAATTTGCAAATTGTTTTTTCTATTTTAACGCTTTGATTACTAGGGACTAGTAATAAGCTGGTTGGGGGGTGTGATTAGTACTTAAAAGTGCATTTTTATTAAGGTTTTATATCATCATTTTGCACTTGAAGTATCAATAACTCCTTAACTAAAGCATGTTTTATAATAAGATATCTAATAATATAAGATACCTTTAATTTGTGGTAAATGTTCATTTTAAACGCAGGCCTATCACATAAATGAAAGGATTGATTGATGACTTTAAGAACTTAAATTGCAAGGGCAAAGAGATGACCAAAATTAGAAAAGAGATGTCAGTGCAATCCAAACCGGAACACTGTTCGGTAATTGGGTCATATCTAGAGCTATAGATCTCAGATTTAGGTCTACTTTATATGGATGGAAAGGTAAGACATAGGCCTACAACTTTCATATGGAGCCCAAGATCTAAAAAGGCCATTTTCAAGTCCAAATTATTGCAACAACAAAGAAGCCCGAAGCTGTCCTCCAGCCCGAGCACTGTTCAGTATTTTGGTCATATCTAGAGTTTTAGAAGTCCAAATGAGCTAAATGTTTTACACAAGAAAGCTAAGACAATTAACTACAACTTTTATGTTTTCGAGTGGCTTCAATTTTGACGTTATCAATGATGTTTTGGGCAGACAAGAGAAGATAAGGATTGTCACCAAGTCAAGAGTTGGCTACCCACTCATCAATTAGTCATCAAATCAATAGTTCCCAATTTTGGCCTATAAAAGGAGGCATTTGCCATGCATTTAGGCATCTTGGTCTTCAGTCATTTACTTAGCTAACTTTTATCTTATTTATGTTCTTATTTTGTTTATTTATTTTTCTTTCTTTCATTATGTTTAGCTAAGTTTATTATGTCAAGGTGAAAAGGTTACACTAATGGTGTAAGAATAAGTATAGTGTAAACTTAATATGGAATTTAATGTTTGATACTAACATGTTTTGTATTTGTTATCTTGTTCACTCTTTAATACTTTGCTTGTTAAATGACTAATCTTGATTTATGTTGTATAACACTTGGTACAACAAATGCTTGGCACTTTCATAGCCCATAATGTATGGTATAACCGACACCTGAGCTATGAAAGGAACTTGATTTGTTGTTAACATAAGTTATAATCATGAATGCTTAACGAGATTTACAAGTATTAGCATTAATTGAATAAGATGACTAATGTAATCATGTTAACAATCTATAATCTGATTAGAACCTCCTTTGTGTGTGGTTTCCAATTGACTAATAAGAGTTTATACTATACTTGTTTGACATACCATTAGTGGATCCTTTAACCTTGACATTTATTGTTATCGTTGTTAAATTTTTACGTTAATATTCCATCTCAAAGTTCTCATCATCTTCTTCTTCTTCTTCTTCTTCTTTATTATTATTGTTGTTGTTGTTGTTGTTGTTGTTGTTAGTATTACTACTACTACTATTATTAGTACTATTATTATTATTATTGTTGTTGTTGTTATTGTTATTGTTGTTGTATTATTGTTATTTATAATTTGTACAATTAACCTTCCTGTGGTTCGACCCCGGTCTTGCCGAGTTATTTATTACTTCGACACTCCTGCACTTAGAAAAAGACATCAATCTTTTCGTCGTGTCACCTATCATCCCCAGACTAATGAGAAAATATAAGCAATCAACAAATTCCTAGAAAACTACTTGAGGTGCATGTCATGTGTTAATCCTAGTCTATGGTTCATATAGTTATCCTTAGTTTAATAGTGGTACAATACACAATATCATGCTTCTATTAAATTTGCACTATATGAAATACTTTACGGTCATATACCTTCTATTCATATTATTTACTTGCCAAAGAATTATACTATTGAAGTTGTGGATACACTTCTCATATAAAGGGAAGACATGTTGAAATCTATCAAAACCAATTTTAAGGTGGCATAACATAGGATGATCCAACATGCTAACAAGAAAATGAATAAAAGGATGTTTGTTGTGGGTAATTGGATTTATCTTAAACTACAACTCTACAAATAAAGGTTAGAGGTTACAAGAGAATCACACAAACCATCACAAAAGAATCACATAAACTATCAACTAAATTTTATGGTCTATAGGCAATTGAATGTATTGGGATAATGGCTTACAAGCTACACCTACTTTTATTGCCACAATCCACGTAGTATTTCATGTATCACAATTAAAGAAGCATATGGGGTGTAAAAGAGTATACAAAGATTTACCCGAACTACATGATAGCCTAAAACCCTAACCTCGAGCAATATTGAATAGAAGAATGGTGAAGGATCACAATAGTGCAACCACTCAGGTCCTGATCTTGTGGAAGAATTCACTTATAGTTGAAGCCACGTAGGAGTTCTTTAAAGAGTTTTCTCTAAAGTTTCCAACATTTCCCCTTGAGAATAAGGGTGTTTTTCTGAATGGAGAATTGTTATGTGCATTATTAAAGAAAGAAGATCCCTAAAAAAAAAAGTTAGGGTTGATTGATTCAAATAAAAAACCATTTCAGTTTTAATTAAAAAGACAAGGGAAAACACAGCATTTCACTTACCCGCTTCAACACAATGTTTTGTCCTCATTTTAAGTTTTATTTATCCTATTTTCAACAGTGTTTTATTTTTATTTATTAGTTATAATTGTTGCCACGAATTGGTCTAAATTAAAGGAATAGTACTATTAGACAACCCTATATGTAACAACATTTTTTTCTAGGAAAAATAATGATGAAATTAGTTTCTTTTTCTCCCTTTTTTGTCGTCTCTTTCTTCCTCTTTCTTCTTCTCTCTTCTAACTCATTACTGCCATTGGATAGCATACTATGCATTATTGTTCTTCTTCACTAAACTTTTTGGATGCTCTTCAAGTGCCGTGGAAATCCAGCTCACTACAACTTGTTAATGCTCATGCTAGGGCTACATATGTCGAAAACAAGGAATAAATTGACACCTTGAACCGATGAGAAAATATTACGTGGATATGTTTATTATCATGCACACTGCTGGATGCATTCATAAATTTAATTATTCAAAAGCAAGCTACAATTCCAATCGATTATAAAAATAGGATTCTTAGCATGCCCCGTAAATATCAAATCATACAAACCATTATCAAAACAATAGGAAAATAAAATACAAAATAGAATGCAATAATTACATTATTATAAAAAAAAAAAAAAACTAAAATGAATCAGTCTTTAAGTGTGGCTTTAGACTTATAACACTATAAATTGTAATAATATTATGACATCTAAGCTTTTCTTTACACAATTTAAAGATACTACTTTTAAAGATGTTTTGTATTTTAACAGAGATTTAATTGACATTGCTAAATTCATTGACGGAGGATTGGTCTTCATATAATTTTGTAGCATAATGTAATGGTTTTTTTCACCCAAATAGAAAAATAATATATACCTATCACTCAAAGGTATTTTTAACATTTCAGCTTTAAATATACAATGAATTCATGATCATAACTCTTGAAGGCAAAAAAAAAAATAGAAAAAAAAATTAAGTGTGCAATGATATTTATGGATTTTCCTTTCGGTTTTTTAGATAATTATCAAATTAAGAGAGTTGTTGCATATGTTACTAATTATATAATATTATTTAAATTATTAAACTAGAAGCGTGTAGGGGCTTGAAAACAATTTTTGCAGCTTGCACGGCCACGATACATGACCAAAGCATGGCTTCCGAGTGATGGACTCCTCTAGGTGGTGCCTGCCTAACCAAGTGACACATGTTTCTTCTCCATCTCTGATTTATTTACGTTGCTTTTTTTCTCTCTCTCCTTTTCTCTCTCATCTAAGCTGGTGAAATAACCCAATCACAGATTCAGATGTATCAATCAATCCCAAAATTTAAACCGTCAATTGAACTTCAAGAACAAAATCAAGTCACGCTCGCATGGAAACAATGGTTACAAATCTGACTATTTACAACTTATATGCAACCAACATTCAATCATATTATTAGAAACTGAATTTTTTTGAAGCGCGGATTTGTAATCTGACTGGACTAGCAATTTCCAGAATAAAATCATGCCACGACAGCAATTCTCACATAGAAAAAATGGTTAGAAATCTGACTATTTACAACTTGCATGTAGCAAATATTCAATTATATTTTTAGAAACTGAATTTTTAAGGCACTAATTTGAACTCTAGCTATCCCTTGATAGGATAAGTCCAAACTACAAAAATGAGCCAAATAATGAAGGTACGAGACTAAAATAATAGGCAACCTCAAGGCAGGATGCATTCAAACATAAAATTACTACGGAATGGATAAATTAGAAATTAGTGCTCAATAGAAACAAAATCTATTCTCGAAGGTCAGAAACATGTTGAAACAAGAAGGAAAAGGAAAGAGAAACGCTAAGATGCAGGGTGCGGGAGCGGGATTGGCCTCACAGCACTTTGAATTCGCCTAAATGCTGTCCTGACTCGTTCCTTGAGACCTTCATTCTCGCTCTCAACATCCCCACTCTGTTTGTCAAGCTCTGCCACATTCCCATCGACACGTATGACCAGCTTCCCGTTCTCTCCAAGTTTCACATCTCCAAAGAGTGAAACAAGGAGGGCATAAATCACTTTCTCTGCTTTTTTCTCATTTTCTTCCTCAGATTTTATGTCCTCTGACTCCACTATTACCTTAGGAACCTCCCGGCTGATGTTCAAAACCAAAGCTACAATTGAATCAGACACCATATCACTTATGGGGTCAGCAGTCCAATGAAGTGAAATATGTCTGTCAGACTCTTGTTTCACTGTTACCAGCTCATGCACCTGCAGTGTTGGAGACCCAGACTCCTCGTCACTTCCAGACTCCACACTCTCATAAATCTGCTCAAGCCTGTGCTTTATCACACCAAATGCACCAGAAAAAGGAATGGTAATCCTCTGATTAATATTTCCCGTTGATAATTGTGAGAAGACATGGAGATCTCCAGGTGCCATGATTTGATAAGTGAAGCCCTTCTTCACCAGCATCCCACTGACAGTTTCATCAACATCCGGGGTCCTTTCAGCCAGCTTTCCAATGGTTTTTGCCATCTTTTCAGAGTTGAAATACATCTCAACAGACTGGCAATTCTTTGGGGTGATTATCTTGGTATTGCCATCAGCAAACTCTGTGATAAGTTTCTGTTTGAGCCTTCCCATTTCATTGGCTTCTCCATGAACTAGAATAATGTTAGGAGGCATGAGCTCTTTCAAAAAGGTACTTGTCTGAGCATAATCTGCATGCGCAGAGAATGAGATGTAATGGACCTGCATGTTGAGTGGTGCAGTTAGTCCATTCATGAGCTGTACCTCCTTTGGTTCATTAATGATTGTCTTAGCTAGGGTCCCTTCAACAACATATCCAGGTAAAACACAAGCATTTTTCTTATCAGAGCACCACATATCAAACAACTGCCTTGACAACCCGCTCTGCAGTCCTCCAGGACTTGCCATAACCACAGATGGCCCTACATCAGTAAAATCTTCAATGCTATTCAACGGTGATATATGCTTGAATTTGAAGGGGTTTGAATTCGCAAACTGATTGCGGATCCTTTCATTCATAGAAAGGATGTATGTCTGGTAAACAGTCATGCACTTTTTTGCAAGGGGAGAAGCATAATATATGGGAATGTTATGAAGCTCAGGATGGTTTGCCCAATACTCATCAAGGATCAAAAGGAGTTCTTGAGCTCGGCCAAGAGCAAATGCTGGAATTAGAACACGACCACCTAGAGAGATGGTGGAGTGGATAACATCAGTGAAGCGCTTCTCCCGAAGGTGTCGAGGTTGATGGAGTTGGACACCATAGGTAGATTCAATTATGCATATGTCTGGAGAGAATTGTGGCATCTCAGCAGCACGAAGATGCCGATCTTCTTCACGTGAATAGTCTCCAGTATACAGCACTCGAACACCAGCGATATCTACCATGAACATGGCAGCGCCAAGGACATGACCAGCAGTGTAGCACCAAAATTTAATGCCATTAACATCCAGAGTCTGATGGAAGTCAATAACCTGCAATTACAAAAATCATCAATGAAATGACGGAATCTTATATTAAACAGAGGATCACAAAGGAACATTACAAGTAACCCCATAATAAGGAAAATAAGACCTAGCAAACACCAGCAGATCTGCTTACACAGAATGACAAAAATGCAAACACATGCACCAAACCTTGACAGAAGTGTCAGGTCAAGGATTAGGATTAACAGTCCATGTATGAATAGAAAAACATATAAAAGAGATATACTCATGTTCCCTCTGCAATCTCTCAATGGTTTTGACCACTTGCACTCATGGATCGTGATTTTGCTACAAGGAAGGATGGAAAAAAAATCAAAAGAAATCCTCGCTTTGAATTGGCTCCATAGGATTGTATTTTCAGAATGCTACCAAAAATTAAATACCTACTTATTTTTCTTATTTCATAATTGTGAAAACACCTTTTAATCAGCCCAAACATTACCTAACATGGATCGGTCAGGGACAGATTTACCAACTTAAAATGCCAAGCATGATGCTTACCAAAAAGAGAAGCTATATTGAGAAAGAGATAAGCAACTCCCATTTTGGAAGAAGCACCCTTCTTCAAAGAAACAAGGGAATAAAATACATAGATTCTTCTTCTACTTTTGAATTACTGTTATCTTATTACTAATCACGTAAATCTTACATGCGCAGGAAGAGAAAGAGTTAAAGGGCACTCACTATCATATGACCCAAACTCTCATAGTTCAATAAACATGCATGGCTGTCAACCTCAACTACTTGAATATGCTCTTTGATTTTATCAGGCAATAGAGTATTCCAAATGCAACTTAAGTGTGGAATGAACTTAGATTGATCAGTACTGGAAAGAAGAAAGGCATAACTTAATTATCAGATGCACATAAATTGGTCCACAGTTTACATGTGAAACATTCAAGCCTCAAATGAGAAGCCAACAACTAACATTGCCAAACTCAAACAGACTGAAAGCTAAGAAATCCATAGAAAGCAAAATTCATAACCCCAAATGCAAGATTGAAACACTTTAGATTCCAGAAGACGCAAACCTTTCATCTAGAGCAATTAAGTCAGCATGGATAGGAGGTGATAAAGAAGAATAACCAATAAGCTGAATTCCTGATCCCCTCACTTTGGGACCACAACATCATGCCAAGCTAAATATAATAAACAAAAATATTTCCAATCTATTGCTTAGATGGAAGGTAAACGAAGTAGATCAAGTTTCTGGAAGAACAAAAAGGTTGCAGATAGATGTAAACAAAAGAATGTAAAAATTCATAAGCACAAACCTCGATTTTATCCATTGAGCGGTTTATGTCTTTCTCATCAAACAACATATCTTCCACTGAAACTTTACTCACTTTTACATAATCAGTCAAAAGCAACTTGTAGATAGCCTTTGTCGCATGAGTCATGAAAACACGACCTCTGAATGTGGTCTGATAAAGAGTGAACATGTTAGATCAATCCTAGTGAAAGATACACACAATAGCTTTGTAGAAATCAGTAAAAAAAACAAACCTTCTCAAGAAAATAAGGTAGGGATGCAGCATGATCCAAGTGAAAGCTGCAAGCAGAAAACATCACTCCCAATGATTGATGAAAAAAACCTAGAGAGGCCTAAAAATTTTGATTGAAAAAGTAACGATAGAAAACAAACTAAATTGATCAAATGATTTTTCAATATTTTCATTTTTTGAATAATTGCATGATATGCAATCACACTAATATTCAATATAATTAATTAGTAGAAATAATTAATATTGTTTTATTGTTTTCCTTTCTTGTTGAACAGTATGATATTTAATCACATTAAAAAAATTATTATAACATAGTATAGAAAATCAAGATTTTCCTAAATGATTTCACCTGGAAAACGGATTGCTTTAACTCCCCAATCAAATGTACTCTCAGCACTGTTCTATTGTGGTTCCCATCATAAGCAAATAAACCTCACGAGCACAACCCTATTTCTTAGAAGATCACTAGCCTTCTTGCAACAAGGAACATGTGAATAATTAAAATATAGATATTACAAGTCTGTGACACTTCAAATTCCATCAACACTTTATCAGACATCTCATTGCATCTCATTACATCTATACTTCTCTACAGCTGCATGGATCCAGTTAAGAGTAAAAAAGTTCCCAGCACACATCAAGAATACTACTGATAACTTTTTATAGAGGTAAGAAAGTTCAGCCTGCCCTCTCGTTGACAAAGCATCAAGTTTAAGTTTCACTGTTTCAGTTTATATTATTGTCAAGTGCCACATTATAACAGACTTGCTAACTTCTACTGATGAGGGAACTAAGAATAGAACCCAGCCACTGCCTATCAAATGACCCTAATAATGCAAGCTCAAACACCTAGGGAACTGCATCATGTGGTTTTTCTCAAAATATTAAAACTCCTTCCCAACATGTATTGTCACACAATAAAATATTCCCAAATATTAGACCAAAATACCCTAACACTAACTTTCTCAATAACAGTATATCTGACTTCTGAGCTGAGTGTTCTCTAATTCTGAAACAATTTCATATTCTTCCTTGGACAAGTTGATCTCTTGCAGCTGAAGTTTCATGCAATCTTACTACATCATCATAGGAGATATCTCTTGTGACAAGAAAATGAACAAACAAGAAAGCAAGCAAGGTCAAATCAAAGGAGCATTCAGTGAGAGAAAAAGCTCGCATTTATGAAACTAATAGTGAGAAACAAAATATTGCCTCATGGAATGGAAAATCAATATACATATATACAATAGCCAAGCAAGGAGAATTAGCAAGAGAAGGTGAAGAAATACATACTGTGTAACGAGAAGCACATCAATAGTGGAAGGGTCAATCTCATCGAAGTAAGGTAAAGCAGCCATACCCGAATAAGCCGGATGAATTCCACAATCAAACTAACATTGGCATAATTCAACAACAAAAACATAAATTAATAAACAAAATACATTCATTGAATTTGATCCAGCATAATCAAGAATTACCAATAGTAAATTAGTATAAAATGGCATAATTGAAAAACAACAAAATGCATAGAGGGAAGGAGGGAGGGAAGCAGTACCAATACAGTCTTGCCTTTAAATGACATGTAAACACAGGATCGACCCACTTCATTTCCAGCACCTAAAGGGGTTAGAGTTAGCTGATCCCCTCCTTCTCTTGTTATTGGTGCATCCCTTCTTTTTAGTGACTGTGATTGCCCTGTTGATGCCATTCTTGTGTTCTTCAGCTGCCCCAAAACCAAAATGTATTTATGTCTCTGTAGAAAAACTCCTATACAGATAAACCCACTCAGCTTCTGGTTTGTAATGATTATATAAAATAAAAGAATACAACTTACAAAAGTTGAAATAAAGCTTAAATGTTTATAGCAATTATGCTTCAAGCTCAAACTTTTTAAAATTATAAGGTGGAAATGGGAGTTTCGCTACATCAGAGACATTGTTTCAAGGGGTTTTCTTTGCTTTTACTTGAAGATTTAATTAATGGATCAAATTAAAATACACAAATCAGTTAGCATGGCATATGTTCCAGTCCTAAGTAGTCACATGACTCAAAACCCACATTTGTATTCTTCAATTCACTTTTCAAGTAATGCAAGGTGAATTCGACAGCTATGATTCCAAGGTGAACCAAATTTGTGTTGTCTGAATGCTTTCTCAAATGCTCTTCCATTTATATTGTCACTTTGATGGACATGAACAGGACAAATAAATCTCAAGATTGACAAAGCATTTCCCTTTTGCTAACTTGAGATTGTCTATTCAAGTGCTAGATTAGAACCATTGATTTTTCACTGACTTGACAAACAAAACAGAAGATTGTCTTGTTAGGGTTTTGATGACTTGTGTGCTTTCTGAGGTAAGCTGTTTTGCCTTTGTCACCAGAGATAAGACACAGTTGACTCAAAGAGACAAGATGGCTTCAAAAACCAACTCGGACCTTGAAAGCAACCCAAGCCCATTCTTTCCCAGTTTCTACCAATTAAATCTACTTTAATAGTATATGACCGCACCAACTCCACTTAATATCTGTTCTTCCCATTGATACTTGACCTACTACATTGAACCCGCCCTTCTCATGTACAGTTCCGGTGACCCTTTCTGGTCATGCTGGTGCCAGGCCATATGCAGTCTTGCAAATCTAATTCACCACATCTCTCAACTAAAGTTAACATAAAACACAGCGTTCTGTTTGGTTACTATATATATATATATATATAAAGACAATTCTGTACTAATTAGTTATTCAGTCAATACGCCTGTAAATGCTTTGTGCATTATACTTGTTCGTAAGATTCAGAAAAAGAAGAGCAATCCTTAATTTCTCCTAAATAAACAAAGAGGAGGAGCAGCAGCAGGCAAAGAAAGATAGCATACGTACACATATACCTATATTAGTATTGTTAGACGACAAGAATGCTCCAAACCCCTACTTTTATGACCTTGGACTCCTCTCCTTCGCGTCTTTCAAACCCATTATAGCTCCACCGTCACGCTGGCGTGCTTGAGCAACCAAAATCATCTATCTACCCATACCCTCCTCATACAACAAGACAAAAACATTCTCTGATCACAGTTTAAAATTTTCAGTTTTTCAAATTAAGAAATATTGTATTTGAACAAAAAAAAAACTTAATTTTTCCGTTTCTAACTAAAAATTAAAGTATTACTAAAGAACCCTATCTTTAAAGAAATTAAAGTAGCAGTTGCGAAACTTTTTTCGGCTTTGCTCTAACCACCAAAAACACGAGAAAGAAAAGGGTTCCTTTTGAAATACCTAGCCTCATTGATTTAATAACTAAGAACTATTGATTCTTTTTAATTTATGCTAAGCAGACTCTACTTTACATGCACAATCTCAACATGAAAGTTCAAGCCACGCAAAATAAACAATCACAGAGCAAAGGATCGCTATTTACCTGCAAGCAGCGTCGACGACTCGAGTGGGAGGAACGGGCTCGCTGAGTTGCGGGTTTTATTATCACAGAACAAAGGACGTGGGATGGAAGAACAAACAGGGGGAGAAGGTGAAGAGGAATCGAGGAGGAAGGGGAAATAGGGATTGGTAATGTGCCTGAAGCTCAACAGACCATTGTTGATAGTGAGTTCAAACACTTTCGTATCTCTACCAAAAAACTACGCCGTTTTATTCATTTAAGAAAAATTTAATAAGTTAGGTCTAAGTTCCGGAAGACCGGCCGGTTCATCAAGTTTAAAAGGATGAAAGAAGGTGTTTATTTATACGGTAGTTTTGTTTTTAAAACTTATCATGTAAACATTAAGTTTGGTAATAACATAAAATACATCTAACTTTTCATGTAAGATGTTAGGAGATCCAAACATTCAAACACACATAAATTTACGTGGTTCGGTAACTTGCCTACTCCACGGAGCTACTGGTTTGTATTAATCAAGCTCAAAAGCAATACAAACAACAAAACAAGGAGGAGGAGAAAACTTCTCAACTCAACTCAACTCTCACCCTTAGCTCTCTCTCTGTGTTTCTCTCTATCTCGTGCTCTGTCTCAGCTATCAGTGCACCTTCTATTTATAGCTGAGGAGGGAGATGATTGTTCAACAATGGTGGGCAAGTTAGGCACCTACCATTTGACTATGACTTCAACCATAGCTGTCACCAACCATGGCTGCCACCGTCCATTTGTGTCCACACACATAACAATCTCCCACTTGGACACAAATGGTGTTAGGTCTGTCTTTTAATCTTCAAGACCCACTAAAGCTTTACACAGCTTCAGTTTATCGAGAGTAACTCCTTTGGTTAACATGTCGGCTGGATTCTTGCTTCCACAGATCTTTTCAAGTAACAGTTGTTCATCGTCGAGCAATTGCCTGATGAAGTGATATTTGATCTGTATGTGCTTTGTTCTGGAGTGAAATGCTGGATTCTTGGCAAGGAAGATTGCACTCTGACTGTCACTATACAAAGTACCTTTTCCATGCATCTTGCCCAATTCTTGCAGGAAACTCTGTAGCCATACTATCTCTTTTGCGGACTCTGAAACTGCAACATATTCAGCTTCTGTCGTTGAAAGAGCAACTATCTTTTGCAAGGTAGAACTCCAAGAAACAGCAGTGCCTCCTAGAGTGTATATATAACCTGTAGTACTCTTTCTGCTATCAACATCTCCTGCTAGATCAGCATCTACAAAGCCTTCAAGTTTCAAACCGCCAGCTGTGAAAATAAGACATGTCTCCGATGAGCCTTTTAAGTACCTCATGATCCATTTCACTGCCTCCCAATGCTGCTTTCCAGGATTGCTCATATATCGGCTTACAACTCCCACTGCATGGGCAATATCTGGTCTAGTACAGACCATGGCATACATCAAGGAGCCGATAGCTGAGGCGTATGGAATCTGGTCCATGTATCCACGTTCTAGCTCAGTTTTTGGTGACTGGTCTCTACTGAGCTTGAAATGATTCCCCAGAGGTGTACATACTGGCTTAGCATTATCCATACTAAACCTACTGAGAACCTTCTTGACATACTCTGCCTGTGAAAGCTTTAGTATGCCTTTATCTTTGTCTCTGATGATTCTCATGCCAAGTATTTGTTTAGCAGCTCCCAGATCCTTCATTTCAAACTGTTTTGACAATTGTTGCTTTAGCTTGTCAATCTCTTCCATGCTGGAACCTGCAATTAACATATCATCCACATATAGCAGTAGAATGATATAGGAGTTGTCAAAATGTTTGACATAGCAACAATGATCAGCCTGACATTTTGTGTATCCCGTACTACACATGAAGTTATCAAACTTCTTGTACCACTGTCTTGGAGCTTGCTTCAAGCCATATAGGCTCTTCTTTAGTTTGCAAACTTGACTCTCCTTTCCTGGTATTGCAAACCCCTCTGGTTGTTGCATGTAAATTTCTTCCTCCAATTCTCCATGAAGAAATGCTGTTTTTACATCTAATTGTTCAAGATGTAAATTTTCTGCAGCTACTATCCCCAGAACAACTCTGATCGTTGTAAGCTTCACAACTGGAGAAAATATCTCAGAATAGTCGATCCCTTTCTTTTGCTGAAACCCTTTTACAACAAGTCTTGCCTTGAACCGTTTGCTTCCGTCATGCTCGGTCTTTACTCTGTAGACCCATTTGTTTTGCAAGGCCTTCTTTCCTTCAGGTAGTTTGGTTAACTCCCAAGTCTTGTTCTTCAGCAATGACTTCATCTCGTCCTTCATGGCTAACTCCCACTTGCTCGAGTTTCCATCTTGTAAGGATTCTTCATAAGTTAATGGTTCACCACCATCGGTCAGCAAGATATAATTCAGTAGAAGTGTGAACCGTTGTGGAGGCTTTATAGTCCTTGAAGACCTGCGAACAGTTGGTTCACTTGGCTCTGCACTATCTTGTGTAGAAGTGGTGGGTACTGAAGTGCTTGAACTGTCTTGTATGGACTCTTGAGTGGTAACATCAGGAAGCCCTTCTAATTGTATGAATTCAGATTTCTGTGGACTCGTATCTGAATCAGTTATCTCTAGTTCTGTACTTGATTTGTCTTTGTACAAAACTTTCTCGTTGAAGATCACGTTCCTGCTTCTGATAATCTTCCTGTTTTGATCATCCCAGAACCGAAATCCAAATTCTTCATCTCCATAGCCAATAAAGAAACATTTCTTTGATTTGGCATCCAGCTTGTTGCGAGCATCAGAGTCTACATGCACATAGGAAACACACCCAATGACTTTTAGGTGAGCAAGCTGTACTTCTTTTCCTCTCCAGACTTCCTCGGGCAGTCTGAACTCCAAAGGTACTGATGGTCCACAGTTGATCAAGTAAACTGCAGTATGAACTGCATCAGCCCAGAATGTTTGAGGTAGCCCAGAATGCAACCTCATGCTTCTGGCTCGTTCATTGATGGTACGGTTCATCCGTTCAGCAATACCATTCTGTTGTGGTGTGCCTGGAACTGTCTTTTCCATTCTGATACCGTTGACAGCGCAATACTCCTTGAAACCTCCATCAATGTATTCTCCTCCATTATCAGATCGTAAGCATTTCAGCTTCAAGCCTGATTCAGTCTCAACCATAGCCTTCCATTTCTTGAATGTGTCAAACACATCAGATTTATTTTTCAGAAAGTAGACCCATACCTTTCTGCTAAAGTCATCAATAAAAGTGACATAGTACCGAGAACCGCCAAGAGATGCTACTGGAGCTGGTCCCCATAAATCTGTGTGCACCAGTTCTAGTTTTCTTGGTCTTAAGGTCCTGCCAACCTTTAAGAAACTGAGCTTCTTCTGTTTTCCGAGAACACAGCTTTCATAAATGTCTAGATCAACATTTTTTTAATTCTGGCAGCTTTCCCTTTGACTGAAGTATCTTCATCCCCTTTTGACTCATATGGCCGAGTCTACAATGCCATAGCTGCGCCTGATTTTCTGCTTCAGTAGAGGCAATTATATCTGCTGATCTTATGGTCATATACAGGGTGCCGGTTTTCTTTCCATGAGCCAAAACCATTGCTCCCTTTGATACCTTCCACATTCCTCCAGAGAAAAGGATTGAATGGCCACTATCATCAAGTTGTCCGACCGAGATCAACTTCTTCTTTAGTTCAGGAACATGCCTTACATTTTGCAAGTTCCATGTAGATCCATTCATTGTCTTGATTTGCACATCTCCTATACCCACAATCTCCAATGGTTGTCCATCGGCCAGATAGACTACCCCATAATTTCCAGCAGTGTAATTTTGCATCATTTCATGGTGTGGAGTACAGTGAAATGAAGCTCCAGAATCAAGAACCCAATCATCAATAGGACTATGTACAGCAAGGATCAAAGCATCTTGTACCTCGTTTGTAGTGGCATTTACAGAATCAGCTTCAGGTTTCTTTGGTTTTGTGCAACTCCTCATAAAATGGCCAGGTTTGCCACAATTCCAACATTCAACCTGTTTCCTGGGTCTAAACTTGCTTTTGCTTCTGTACCTGGATTTTGATCTGCCTCTGGATAAGCCTCTGTCTTGTCTCCTTCCTCGAGTGTTGATGTTGAAAGCTGAACCTGAACTTGAGCTTTCACCCGAGTCTTTTCTTCGTACTTCTTCAGCTAAAATCAGGTCTCGGATATCATCATACTTTAATTTGGATTTTCCAGCTGAGTTGCTTACGGCTGTTCTCATACCTTCCCAACTGCTTGGAAGTGAAGCTAGCAAAATAAGTGCTCGGATCTCATCATCAAACTCAATTTCAACGGATGACAATTGATTTGTGATGGTGTTGAAATTATTAAGATGCTGTGTAACAGAGGTGCTTTCTGTCATCTTCAGGTTGAACAACTTCTTCATCAAGTGCACTTTGTTA